CTGCATCAGGGACGCCACCAGTAGTAGTAATAGTATAGTAGTGCTATTTACCTACATTTCAGTGTACGGAGTAGATAGCAATGATGTACCACCGCGTTTAATTCCACGGCCCTCAGGCAGCTGTTCCCTCGTATGTTTTTGTGTTGGCTTTTGGTGTCTGACGGGCTGTTCAATCTTATTAGCTGCCGATCGCTGCGGGAGTGGAGCAAGTGTCCCGCCAGGCAAGAAGAGTTGTGAAGTGGTAAGTTAGTACTGTGGTCGTTGTCGTCGTCGTAGTACTTGTCAGTAGGAGCAGTCGGGAGCAGTCGTTGTGCTCAGTGTCTCTCTCTCTGTGTCTCTCGCCGTCCCTCCTCTTCCACTCTCCCTCTTCCCTCCTCCCTTTCCAACACCACACCCGCCTCCCCCCATCCCACTCCTTCCTTTTGTCTTCCTTCCCTTGTGCATTAATTTCCTATATACTCCCGTCTCTCTGGACATTGTTGTCTTTTACCCTGCAGTAAGTTATTCTTATTCCTTTACTTTTTCTCACCCCCCTCCTCCTCCACTCCCCCTCCCCCTTGCGGTGTTTCCGATCTCCGGAGGTACTAAGCTCTCTGACTACGTCAGTCAGTCCAGCAGGCTGACATATTATTATTGTTATTTTTGCTCCCTCCGAAGCATACCGGCTTACCTTCCAAAACCCCGCTGTAAAGCATATCTGCACTGCACATGTCTGTCTGCATTAGACGCTTTCCAGTCTAGTGCTCCACTACCTGCAATTATTGTTGTTCTGCCGTGTCATTTGCATCCCGCCAGCCTCCCTCTCGCTCCGCTCCCCCAATCTACCCCCCACCACCACGTCCGTTGTGACAGCGTCTCGACCCTGCCAGATGTCCAGTCCGCCGTTCACAGTCAAAGCGGTCTTCGAATACGCTTCGGACCACGATGACGACCTTAACTTTGCCATCGGCCAGATTGTAACCGTGACGGCGGTGGAAGACGCGGAATGGTACTTTGGTGAGTATACCGACGAGTCGGGGCACAAGCGAGAGGGTATTTTCCCCAAGAACTTCGTGGAAAGATATGAACCCCCAGCTCCTCCGCGGCCTACACGCCCGAGCCGACCGAAGAGGGAACCAGAGGTCGCTCCCGGGCCGCCTCCTCCAGAGCCCGCTGTTGCTGTCGAGTCCCCTACAACTGCGCCCCCGCGCTCCTTGGAACCCGAAGTGGAGGATACACCTGCACCTGTGCCCCAACCTCCTCAATCGCCGCCTCCTGCGTTGGCGTCACCAACTCGTGAGCTCCCCTCGTTCCCGAAGCCAGCGCCTGTCCCGGCTCCTGCCCCGGTTCCTCAACCCCCTGCAAATGACATCAGCGAACCGGCTCCGAAACCCTCGTCCAAGCCCCCACCTCCCGCCGTTGCGGAGAAGCCGACGGGCTCATCGTTCAGGGATCGCATTGCTGCTTTCAACAAACCCGCCGCACCCCCAATTGCACCCTTCAAGCCGGGTGGCTTGAGCGGCCAGACCACTTCCTTCGTCAAGAAGCCGTTCGTTGCGGCACCTCCCAGTAGAGATGCATACGTACCCCCGCCCCGTGAGGCGCCCCGCAAGATCTACAGGAGGGAGGAGGATCCAGAGGTCCAAGAACGTCTGGCGAATGAGCCTCCCGTTTCCGAGACTCGGCCACTGTCCAGCGGAGGCGCGGAGGAAGGTGCGGAGGAGCAGCCCAAGCCGACCAGCTTGAAAGAGCGGATTGCTCTCTTGCAGAAACAGCAGATGGAGCAAGCTGCTCGTCACGCTGAAGCCGCTCAGAAGAAGGACAAGCCCAAGCGCCCTCCCCCCAAGAAGCGCACCGAGTCTCACGAAGAAGCGATGCCTGCGGAAGAACCGCCGACCGAGAGCACCCCATCTGGCGAGCCTGAGAGAGACCACAGTGTTGAGACGGTGAAAGCCGCTCACCCGCCAGCCCCGCCAGCAGCTATGCCCCCTCCACCAGTGCGGGAGCTCGTCAGCGATACCAACGATGCCGATGATTCAGCCGCCGCTGATACGGAAGATGCGGAGGAGACCTCTACGAGCAAGGAGGATTATGACGAGCGCGCCCGAGCGGAGGTTCAGCACGAAGCTCAAGCAGAATCTCGGCAGCTGGAACAAGCCGAAGAACGTGAAGCTCAGGTTGATGAAGGTGCAGAGGAGGAAGAAGAAGAAGAAGGAGAGGAGGAGGAGGAAGAAGAAATAGACCCCGAAGTCAGGCGCAAGATGGAGCTTCGCGAAAGAATGGCCAAGATGAGCGGTGGAATGGGTATGATGGGCTTCTTCGGGCCTCCTGGTGGCATGCCTCGTCCGGCTGCAGCTCCTCGGAAGCCAAAGGCACCCGTGGAACCCGAGAGACCCAGCGGGGAGTATGAACGATCCGGCCCAGCTGCTGCCCCTCCAGTGCCGATCATGGCTCTGCCGGGGATGAACGTGGCCAAGCCTGCTGCCACACCAAGCGTGGAGAAGGAGGAGGAGGAAGCTCAGACGAGCCCTGTGACAGAGCAGCATCCTCCACATGAAGTCCCTGATGTCGAAGATGTGGTAGAGGAAGAGCCTCCTCGGCGTACATCCACCGACAGGCCACCTGCGCCTCAAGGTACGCGCATAAGTCATTGATGATCCTAGTATACCATCTAACTATTCTCTAAACAGAGCGCGCGGCTCCGCCCCCTCCGCCACTCGAAACACGGCCAGTTCCACCTCCTGTCCCTCACGATGCGCCTCTGTCTCCGCCCCCTGTTCCCGGACGTAAGTTCTCCATGGGATCAGTGTCCTTTGCTACACATGCTGACCTGGGATAGATCAAACCACCCCTAAGGGCGTTGCTCCTGCTGACACGGGCGAAGAGTCGGACGATGAGCTCTCCTTGCATACTAAGAATCTCTCCCTAAACGCTGCGGCAGCCGATCAGTCTCCAAGCCAACCTGTTCCTGCTCCTCCGCTCCCCGATCATCTAGACTCTCGCCGCTCGTCGACATACGATGTCACCTCCCCGAAATCGCCCACACTTCCTGCAGATAAGAGACTTAGCCGACCTCCACCTCCTATTCCAGGCAATCCACCCGCCCCGGCTCAGAGTCGGGCAGCTCCTCCCCCGCCGCCCGTAAATATTCGCCGGAGGTCGACTGCCGACAGTCGAACCAGTGTGACCTCACAGTCTCGCCAAGCGGGCGAAGAGGTGGAGGGCGAGGTCACCGAGTATGACGGCGACTACGACACTGACATTGCATCCGGTGCCAAATTTAAGGACGCACTGAAATCTCATGGACGTGATTCAAGTTTCGACGAGGGGACGACTACCGACGACCATTCACTTCAATCTCCTCGGAGCCCGCCACAGACTCGTCTTCCGCCTCCGCCTCCCCCAAATGCCCCTAGGGCAGTCCCTCCTCCGCCCCCAATTCAGCCTCCCAAGAGTGCGGGCAGGGCCTCTATAGATTCCCCCCGCGGACCCCCTCCTCCTCCTCCCCACCGAGAGTTGTCTTTTGGAGGTGATGATGAAGAGTATGATCCGTACCGTTACAATGCCCCGCAACATGGACTGCCTACCCCAAGGGGGCCTCCACCTGTTCCCGCTGGACCGCCGCAGTTACCTCCTGTTGTCCCTTCCCAGCCTGCGGAGGAAGAATCGGAGGAGCTCTATGAAGCTTCGCCCGTCCAATCACACCACGAATCAACGTTCTCCCAGTTTGAGAAGAGAACCTCGATGGCACCCCCGCCTCCCACGTTACCCCCACCCACGCCGCGTAGCAACCGTGCATCGCTTGATGTCCCCAGAGCGCAGCCCAGCATGCGGCGGTCCATGGATGTCAGTCGTCCGTCCGCCGACCAAGGCTTCATCGCCATGGACGTAGACCTGGCAGAGAACACGCTCTGGTGGACGCAGCACAATACCCCCCCTCCCGTGTTCCAGAATCGCAAGGACATCTTGCTTGAATTCGAGGAGTCGAGCTCTTCCAAGAGAGGTGGTAAGACCATGGTGACCAAAGACATCTACGTTCTTTTCATGGACCACTCGCAAACGGTGATTACGGTCAACTTCGACGCTCGGAATCCCACGGATGTTGCCTTTGAGCAGCGCCACGAGGCTCCTCCTATCCAGCCTCGTCAGGACCAACTTGAGAACGCACATCTGCAGATTGGCACTCGCATCGCCTCCACAGCCAATTCCATCCAGAACACCACCGTTGCCGACGGCACTCCGTTTGGCCTCGTCCAGCACGTGCTCAGTCCCTTGTCGGATGCCCTCAAGCCGGTTGGAACACGTGCCTATGGCGCTTTGGTCTACTCCAATCTAGCCAACGCTTCTGTACAGCAGAACGACGAGATCCGCGCCGGTGATATCGTCAGCTTCCGCAACGCACGCTTCCAGGGACATCGCGGCACGATGCACCAGAAGTACAGTGCGGAAGTGGGCAAGCCCGACCACGTGGCCATTGTGGTTGACTGGGACGGAACCAAGAAGAAGATCCGTGCTTGGGAGCAGGGCCGCGAAAGCAAGAAGGTCAAGATGGAGAGCTTCAAGCTCAACGACCTCCGCAGTGGCGAATGCAAGGTGTGGCGAGTGATGCCGCGTAGCTATGTGGGCTGGGAGAAATAAGTACAGTATGAAATATCTGAAGTTCTGTGAAGAGTGGAGACGAGCGGAGACGAGTAAATGATTTGATTCTGGTATATCTAATGCCGCTGGTACATGGACCGCAGGCGGACAAACCTCGATTGCCTCTGTGATGTGTTAACTAACATTCTTGTTGTATGTACCTATTGATGTTATCCATATGTGCTTAATCTGTCATTTGTTTACTGCATAGTGCGAATACATTTTATGTAACATGCTTTTGCTGTAAAGTATAGAAATACTCACCGTTCGAACGTAGCCTGTATAGTGATGCCTCAGGCAGAGAAACCCGCAGGTCAGACAGCCGCAGTGAGTGGCAATACATTACTTCCCTATCGGGAATTCACCTCCATCCATCACCATCACTCACACTTACCACTTCCTCCCCCATCCACCTACAACTCCCAATCCACACAACACCAAGCACAACATCAACCAGCTGGACACCCAGCCCCCTTTCACAAAATGGGTGGCGACCTCAACTTAAAGAAGTACGCACCCCCTCCCTCCCCAAACCACACCTCTTCCCCCCAGACCACTCACTAACCCAACCCCATTTCAAACCAACAGATCATGGCACCCCTCCCTCCTCCGCAACCAAGAGCGCGTATGGGCCGAAGAAAAACGCGCGCTCGAGGAGCGCAAACGAATCGACCAACTCCGCCGCGAGCGCGACGAAGAGCGACAAATCCAAGAACTTCAACGGTTACAAGAAGGGACCGGAAAACCGAAGCAGATCCAGCGCGTGGACTGGATGTATCAGGAACCTGGGTCCGGAGGGGCAGCTGGGGGTATGTACGCGGAGGAAATGGAGGGGTATCTGTTGGGGAAGAGACGGATTGATGGGATTTTGTTGAAGAAGGAGGGGGGCGAGACGGAGGGGTTGAAGAAGGGGGCGGAGTTTAATGCGTCGCTTGGTGGTGGGAGTGCAGTGCAGCAGCCGGTGGTAAATTCGAGGGATACGATGGCCAAGGTGTTGGCTGATCCGCTTTTGGAGATTAGGAAGAGGGAGCAGGCGGCGTTGGAGGGGATGGTTAGGGAGGAGGTTAGGAAGGGGGGGAGTTCTTCGAAAGGGGGGGAGAAGAGGGATAGGGATGGGCATAGGGAGAGGAGGAGGGAGAGGGAGAGGGAGAGGGAGAGGAGGCATAGGTCGAGGTCGCCGGAGAGGAGGCGGAGAGATGATCGTGATCGTGATGATAGGGATAAGGAGAGGAGGAGCGAGAGGGATTATAGGAGGGATAGAGAAAGGGACAGTGATCGGGACTATCACCGCTCGAGCAGACATCGGGAGCATCGTGATCGTGATCGTGATCGTGAAGATCGATATGACCGGCGAGATCGATCCCCTGCGGATCGCCACCAGTCTGACAGACGGCGCAGCGACGATCGGAGAGAAAGCGATGGATACAGAGATTCTCGGGACAGGGACCGTGAGCGTGATCGCAGAGACCGAGACCGCGACCGCGACCGACCCAGTCGCTACCACCAAGACAAGAGAGACTACCGTCCCCGAGACAGAGATACATCCAGCCGCGACAAGCCCAACGCTGAAGAAGCCGAGCAGAAGCGCAAGCAGCAAGAGGAAGAACGGCAACGCAAACTAGCAGAGATGCAAGCGAACGCGAGCGAGATGGAGGATGCTCGGCGACAGCGCATTGCGGAGGTCACTGCTATTGAAGCGAAGCAGCATGAAGAAGATGAGAAGCATCGCTCGGAGAAGGGTCGCTTTGTGTCGGGGCTGCATAAACAGCTTCAGGAGGATAGTCTGGATGAGCGGATTAAGCGCAGTCGGGGTGGGTTGGCTCGCTTGGATGAGGATTAATCGTTATCATCATTACAGTTAAATCTTCATGAATGTTGTTGGGTTCGTATGATGATCATGGGATGGATGAATGGTGTGCTGTGCTCTGGAAGCACGATATAGATGCAGTCATTCTCCTTTCTCATCATGCCTATGCTCAACATGCTATCGATGTATCATACATATACCAAGATTTTATGTTACCATTCATAACTCTGACAAATGCATATTTACCTACATATCCAAGCATCAAGGACAATTAAACAGATACATCACAAGTCCCTGCCTGCGAAATAATTGATAAACCGCTCCAAAAGATTAAGAACCTATCTAGCAGGAAAGAAGAAAGAATAATACAACCAGTACAATTACAGCAACAACAACTCACCCGTGGCTGCTCCTCCCGCCAGCTGCGGTTGATACACCTGCTGCTGGTTCTGAGTAACGACATACTGCGTCTGAGGGGCGCCACCACCGCCAACACCACCGTCTTCGCGACCGCCCAGGTCCAGTGCAGCCATTTGCTGAGTGCCGATACTGTTGAAGTAGCTGTCGGCAGCGCTGACAGCTGCGTTCATATCGCTGGGGGCAGATGCGCTGGCAGCCATGGCGGCGGTGGGACTGTTGGATTGCGACGGGGCGGGGAATTGCCAGACAGCAGTGCCGGGTTCTTCCTTCGGTTTCTGCAGGGCAGGGCTGTACTGTAGGCGTCTTGTGCGCGCGGAGCGGAAGACTTGTTGGACGGGTTTCAGGTACACGGTGGCGAGAGTGCCGACGTTGAGGCAGAGCTCTTCAAGGGTGCGAGGGTCGAGTTTCTCGCTTTCGGCGCTGATGGGGGGTTTCTCGCCCATGACGATCTGCTTTGCGGTCTTGGGGTCGGTGGATAGCAGACGCCAGTACATGTAGCCTCTGTCGCGGAGGTCCGGGTCGTCGGTTTCTTCGGTGCACCATTTTAGGACCTGGGGGACGAGTTGTTGGCCCTTGGTGGGACGTTGGATGAAGAACTTGACGGTGGCGGTGAGGAGGGCAAGTTGAACTTCGACGGTCTCGTCGTGGAAGGTGGCTAGGTAGTCCTGGAGGAGGCCGTCGGAGTTCTCGATGCGGTCGGCGTACTGGCCGATGATCCAGATAATGGCGGCCTTGGCTTCGGGTTCGTCGAGCTCGTCGATGTTCTGAATCACGTTGCCGATGATGTTCTCGTATTGGTTGGGGTACTTGCGGAAGATGTTGCGGATCACAACCGTCGCCTCCTGGACGATGTAGGGGATCTTTGCGTTGACCAGTTCTAGCAGGGTGTCGATGCATTGTTTTGCGGCGGACTCGATCTTGATGGCGAGCTTTCCGATGGCACGTACTGCTTTGCGCACGAAGTGGACGTCGATCTCAGTCGCATACCTATGGACGTGTTAGTAGTTAGGCTTATAGGAAGGGAGGACGGACGTACTCTCGGAGTTCTGCAAGGACCACGGAAATGTTCTCCTTGGTGGTCAGCATGAAGATCAACTCCAGCTTGGTGACCTTGACGTAGATCGGATCGTTGTAGTTACAGAAGAAGCAGCGGATATCGTTGCGGAGCACTTCGGGCCTCTTCTGCAGGATAAGGATGGCATTTCGGAGAGCCAGATACTGTACTTCTGGTGGCTTGGAGAGAAGGGTGACAAGGGGTGGTGATAGCTTCTTTGCGAGGGAGGTGACATGTCTTTCGTCGGCAATGTAGTTCATGAGGTAGAGGATAACGCGGATAGAGGTCAGGACAACGGCAGAGTTGGAGTGCGAGAGGCGGGGGGCTATTCGCTCTGCCAGCAACAGGGATTCTGCGGAGTCTTGAGGGACATAGGACATTAAAGCCTCGAGGATATAAGACTGGCCCCATCTGCACAATGTCAGTAACCTGCATCGGACACAGAAGCATAGATAAACACATACTCAGAGCAGTCTGGTAAGATCGAAACGAGCTTCGAGGCACTGGTGTAGTCAATAGTCAAAGAGATCGATTCACTGCGACCCCAGATGTCCACCAAGGAAGCCAGGACGCTAGAAACCACCGTCGGGTTCTCATCCTTGAGCATGCTGTTCAGCCGATCAATCAGATCCGACGCCTCGACCATCTTCTTATCGTGCTCGTAGAGCTTCGCGACGCAGAAAGCGGCGGTCTTGCGCACGTATGGATCCATATCGCTCATCAGTCGCTTGACCGGTTGCACTGTCGCTTCGACAAACTCGCGGACATGGATGTAAGAGATGGTCCGTAGTGCCAGGGCACGCACGAGAGGGTTGGAGTCCTCCATATCCTGGATTATTCAGATTAGCTGTACATCCTCAGACGTAAAGGGAAACAAACACCTACATCGATGAGGAATGGCAAAGCCTTGAGCGCAACCTCGGGTTTCGCTCTTGAGTAATTGACGAGGAACAGAAAGCACCTGTAGTGAGAGAGAAATTATCAGTCCCCACACAAGATGCGATACAACATCTTCCCGGAGACATACATCTTTTTGATCTCCAGGCTGGGCAAGTTCATACAACCGATCACGTCGGGGAACAAAGCGACCATGTCATTATTACTCATGGTCATATTGGCGACGATTTTCTTGAGCGCGATCTTCTTGGCCGAATGGTTCTTGTCCTTCTTCCCCCCACTGTTCAACTCCTGTCGCAACTCGGCAACTTTGCCCTGTTTGGAACGAGAGAATGGTGAGCCATATTGCGCTGTATACGGAACCACGCTGAGGAACATAATAAGGTAAGGATGTAGACTGGACTAGGGAGGGATTTGGGGGAACCAGCCAGGAGGAGGGGATTCGGAGGAAGCGGCATGAGGAGCATAGCGAACAAGATCCCCCGCAGAAGGAAGAGACAAAGCCAGCGCTGGCTCATGTGAACAAGGGGAGCAGGCATGAGGGGAAGCGCGGGAAGATAAGCACACGCCCAAAGGGCTCTTGCACGTCATGTATGGGATGGTCCGATTGAGCGGCAGGAAGGAGAGCAGTGCCAATGCACATCAAAGTACTCACCCTGGCGAACAACTTCGCATCTCCCCCGCTGGAACTCATGGTGCAGGTTCACAATCCTCCAATCGCTTAACCCAGTTTGTTGTCACGGATAATCACAAAAGACCTCGTCTTGAAAATCGTCAAGGAAATCGTTCACGGACGTCGGAGAGCTTCAAGGGGCACTCGATCGGTAGACTAGTTGGCTTGGTTGGTCTGCTGCTCCGAAGCTTCAATTGCATCGGAGGGGGGTTTGCAGACTAGACTCGTTAGCGTCAAGGCACACAGGGGGGGATGAGTCTGTTTAAGGGCGCAACAGTGTACTTACCTATCTCAATTAATATAACCCCAGATTATCTCCCTCTCTCTGTCCTTGATGGATGTGAAATCCAAACCGACGTCGAATGGAGCAACTTTTGGAGAGGCAGCGTGAGAATCAGGAGTGGATCGGGGGCCGCCAACTCCGCGCTGGTGGAGAAATCCATCCATCGATTCCGGCCGGATCATCGTCACTCTAATCGCTCCCTCCTCATCTCCAAGCTCGGCCTGGCTTGCGGCATCAACTTTCCTCTACCTCTCTATCCCTCAATATCCCCCAGGCACGAGGGAAGTAATTACTGAGAGTTCTTTCGACTCTCACAGTCCACCATGGTTTCTCTACCCCCTCCACCGCCGCCGCAATGGGTGGTGAGAATGAACACCCCCATGCCACGCCCATCCAAAGAGGCTACCAGTATCCCTGATCCTCCAGGCTTCTCCAGGAAATTGACTGGCAAGAACGTACGTTTTCTTTGCCGATTACTATACCCATCCCCTTATTCGCACCCAGCTCATACTAACGCGACATTCACATCCACTTCAGAACCGCGCCCAGCAGTCCTCAGCAACCTCCGCCCCATCCAAACCCGTCGAAACCGATACCCTGAAGCTCAAGAAAGCATGGGAAATTGCCCTCGCCCCCTCAAAGCAGATCCCCATGAACGCGATCATGATGTACATGTCCGGAAATAGTCTTCAGATCTTCAGTATCATGATGGTGTTTATGCTGTTCAAGGGCCCCATCCAGGGCCTGATTAATACCAACACGGTGTTCGCCAAGTTCGATACAGAGGGTACGCGTGCGAAGCTTCTGGGTGTGAAGGCGATATATGTCGTTATGCAGCTGGTGCTGTTGTGCTTGGGTATTTGGAAGGTTAATGCGATGGGACTTTTGCCGTATGTGGTGCCCGTGTTTTGTTCTTGTTTTCGCGAGAAATGTGCGCTTGGTCGGATATTGTTCATTGCTAATACTACATTGCGACAGGACTACGAGATCGGATTGGCTGGCTTGGGAGTCGGAACGGCAACCGCTGGAGCGTGCTTACTTTGCTTTTGGTTGATTGGGATGATCGTTCGGGATGAGTGTATGTTCGATGCTGTGTTAATTGAGAAAATTAAGCTATAGTCATCTGGAAGGGAGCTACCATGGTAATTGGATATGGTAGGGCTGGCACTACTAATGTATAGCTTATCATATAGGAGAGGCAGTGTTATGTGGTGCTTCAAGTTCTTACTCTGATAGTAATATGTTCATATGTAGTAGGTAATATATAGATTGGTCCATGTCTGTCCATGTCATAATTTATAGACATAAATAACATTAAATATCCAAGATGACATATACGCAATATCAACCCAGATTCGGCAGCCCAAGATACTTATCTCTCTATTGATTATTTTCGTGACTTCAAAGCCTTCTGACAGGCTTCGAAGAAGATCTGGCAAAACTCCCACACTTCCGTGTACGTGTTGTACAATGGTGCCGGTGCAACTCGGATGACGTCGGGCTTCCTTTCGTCGACTACAACTCCATGCTCTTCGAGTGTCTCCAAGACGCTATCCAAGAGTCCCGGTTCCAGCAGCAAACTGAGTTGTGCACCACGTTCTGCTGGGTTCGAAGGTGTGATGATGGAGAAAGGTCGTTTCCCAGTAGGAAAGTCTGCAGGAGAGTTCAGAAGGAGATGTTCCAAGTAGCCAGTGGCGTTCAGAGACTTTTGACGAATCTCGGTCATCGAGGTGCGATTAAACAGCTCAAGCGACGCCACGACCGCATTCATATCCAGAACGGAAGGGTTAGATAGCTGGAATCCTGCGGCACCCGTCTGTGGAACGAAGTCTGTGGTTCTCAGTTAGTCGCCGAGTAAATGCTAGCAATAAGAAAACCTACTGTTGTTCATAAGGAAGCGAGTCTTCTTGTCGCCTCCCCACCAGCCCGAGAGGCGCGGACGGAAGGGCTCCTCATCACTGCCAACCTTGTCCATCTCAACTCGGCCATGTCTCTCATGCACGAACAAAGCTGCCATACCACCCGGGCCACTGTTAAGGTACTTGTAATTACACCATGCAGCAAAATCTACATTCCAGTCGTGCAAGCGCAGGTCGACATTGCCGGCTGCATGCGCACAGTCCCAGCCAACGATGATCCCCTTGGATTGGGCATGCGCGGTAATCTTCTCGATGTCGAAGTACTGTCCTGTATAGAACTGAATGCCGGAAAGGAGCACAAGCGCTGTGCTTGAGGCATGTTCATCAATAACTCGGAGAATTTGCTCCGTTCGCAGAATCGGCTTCAAGCGGTCCTCCGGCTCGATAAGAACCATAGCATCCTCTGGGCGAAGATCGTGGTGTCTAATCTGTGATTCGATGGCGTACTATATTCAATGGGTTAAGTAGTTGCTTCTCAAGTGATTATGAGGTTCGAACCCACATGGTCACTTGGGAACGCCTTCCCTTCCAAGATAATTTTGTACCTCTCCTGGGTCGGGCGGTAGAAGCTCGCCATCAAGAAGTGTAAGTTCGCCGTCAGTGTGCCCATAACTGCCACTTCACTCTCCAGGGCTCCCACAATTGGCGCCATGAGCTTCGCGCCGGCGTCATCGACGTCAACAAATGGTGGGAGCAATTGGTCCTCGTGCGGAAGAAAATGTCCAGTTACGCCCTTGATAGCCCATGTCCGTAGATAGTAGTCAATGTACTTGCGGGCATTACGAGGTTGAACTCCCAATGAGTTTCCACAGAGATATATACACCGGGGATCAGACTCATCAGTGGCTAGATGAGAGGGCAATTGATTAGTGAAATTGAGACAATATAGCAGCGCTACGATACGTACAGCTATTGTCAATTGCCAAAGTCTTTCTTTTCAGGTCAGCTTTGGAAGGGATAATAAATTCCTTTCTGAATTCGCGCAAAGGGTCTTGTGCATCGAGAGACTCTGCGTATTCCTTGGTGAAGGCATTGATATCAGTCTTGTAGAAAAGCGGGGAGCTGACGCTCGATTCATGTGCAAGTTGAGAACTCATGACGGCATGAGCACTTTTGGTACGGTGGAGGTACTATGTACTGGTAAAAAGGAAGAGAATAAAAATACCCAAAATCCTCGTCTACTATACAATCATAGACACCATCAGCTAAGAAGGAGAAAAAGCTACAGTCATAAAAATGTCAAGCAAAGCCAACGAAGTTCCCCGCGATTATCTCAATTCTGCCACTTCTTGCCGGTCTCCGATCGACCAATGGCGTCATCCCGAACCTTCTGACTAACGGCAATAATACCTTCTTTTCGATGGCTGCTCCGAGCCTCCGATCATATTATCAATCCAGTCTTCTCATTCTCTCTCAACAAAAGTCCTCCTTCACTCGTCTTTCTTAACACCTCCTCTACCCTCTATGACAACAAATATGTCCCGTCCGATCCTCTCAACAGCCGCCCGCCGGCTCTCTCGCTCTCATTCGCCTCGCACCGCGGTTTCTGCACTTTCCCCGGCAACGTTGCCGACATTGAGCTTCTCCGCATCTTTCTGCGATACCGTTTCCCAACGATCCACGCTCCGGCCTAGATTCCTTTGCCCCCGGGCGAGCACATCCTCACCGCGATCAGTATTCCGCTTTGACGCTTTCGGGCAGCGCTCTTCCTTTTCCACCTCGAGTATCCGATCAGCTACCAAGGTGCTACAAAACCCGAGGGTTGATGAAGAGGGAAAGGACTTGTTGATTAGTATCTCGCCGAGGGCCGCGGAGGTACGTTGAAACAATATTTCCTTTCTGTCCCTGCATGCATATACTATGCTTGTTTCGAAGAGGATTGCGGAATTATGGCGATGGTACGGCTTGAGTTGCAGTCGGAGGATGAAACGGAGATGCAAGCGCATTGGCAGCAAATGCGCCGGATCACCGGAGCTAGCCTACTGTTAGCCACGATATGAACCCTCTCCCGTATGAAACAAGTACATACGACCACAGGGTGTGGAAAACAGGGCTTCCCGTCCGCTCAGCCGTACTTAAGCCACACGCCGGGAGGTTAGTAGTTGGGTGGGTGACCACCAGCGAATCCCTTCTGTTGTATGTTTTTCATTTTTTCCTTCTCTCTCCCAGAGGAGGGATAACAACATTTCTTTTTCTTTTTTCTTTTTGGCTCTTCAAGTCGCTAGAGTAATCCAGTTACATCATGAACTAACATATCTCCAACAGCGTCTCCGCGAAATCACAGATCCTTCCTCATCCCCCTCCATCACCAAGGAAGAAAACCCCTACCACCATCTCCGCATCACCGTCACAAGCGGTGGATGCCATGGATTCCAATACTTGATGTCCCTGGAGGCCGCATCCAAGATCGACGCGGAGGAGGACACTGTTTTCGCAGCCGAGCCTGAGGAGGGAGAGGCAGAGGTAGCAGGTGCCGGAGAAGCTAAAGTAGTCATGGATGAGCCATCGCTGGAGCTTCTTTCGGGCAGTACAGTGGATTATACGATGGAGTTGATTGGAAGTCAGTTCAAGATTGTGGACAACCCGCGCGCAACGAGTAACTGTGGGTGCGGAACTAGTTTTGATGTTCAGGATTGAATGAGGACCCAACTAGATAGGCCTATCATTCCTGGACACAACCATCCTAACTGTATATGTGTATCATACTAGAATATGAGATAGAGTAATGCTATACCCCCAGCTGCTTTTTCCTACCTATCTACTTGAGAGGTTGAATGGAAAATATTTGCTTAAGTCATCATCTATTTCATCATGCGGATTCTACATCCCTGTCTGTCCTCTGCTAGCTAAGACACAAACAGCTCGATGCACACAGACCAGACCGTGTGGAACCGGAAGCAAAACCAAACACAAGCATAATGGGATACGCCTTGGAACATTTCCTCAAATGAAAAACAAAAAAGGAAAAGAAGAATTCTTTTTGTCGACTCCAACCCCGTATAACCAGGATGGTCAAAAGGGTTGTGCGACCAACCCCCTGAGTAATGAGAAGCATGGACAATCGAAGCAAGATATGGGAAGCGGAGGACAGAATAAATAAATAGATAAGATAAAAAAAAGAATCATGATGTTGGTGGAATGGGGAAGACGTGAGTAAGTGAACGGGCCCACAAAAGGTGAGAGGGTAATTGATGACCCGTTCGAAAGCACGACTTGGACTCGATTGCCAACGATCCCCCTTCCCAGCTGATGATATCTCCTGAACCACACATCCCCTTCTTTCTGTTTGCACTTCAGTGTGTCTCACGTGGTTCCTTGCTGAGATTGAGTACCCCTTCGTGGAGTCTAGTTACAGACCGGACGCATGTCTCAAGTCAAATGACGTGGGGATATGCGTTTTGGCACTAGAAGGGGTCGCTGTAGCGTACTCGGACTTAGTAGACACGAGCAAGGTTCCTGAGGTACCAGTCCACAAGACGGCGTCCGGCCTTGGTCTCGCTGACGTGGATGAGGTCGTTCTCCAGAGCGTAGTCGAGGTCGTTGGCGTTGACCGGCTCGCCCTCCAGAAGTCCGCCCTCAACCCAGCGCACCTGACGGCTGCGCTGCTTGTTGATGAGGAGCCAAGAGCGGAGCTTCTCGGGCTCGACCTCCAGGAAGCCAGCCAGCTTCTTCAGGTCCATGGTGGTGTAGAGCTTCAGGTAAGAGCGGATGGTAGGGTTGTACAGGGTGTTCTTAACCTCATCCATGAAGATGGCGGTGTGATGGTCAACAGGGTCGACGTTGAGGGCCGGGTTCTCAAAGTCGGGGGGAGTGGGGCTGATGAACTTGGGGCAGGCCGAACGGAAGAGCTCCTCGAACAGAGGAAGGGCCTCGGGGCCACCATGCTGCAGGCGGTTGAGCTGCTCGCCGTACTTCTCGCGCAGGGCGGAGTGGATGGTGTCATCCAGGCGAGTGGGGTGGAGAGCGACACAGATGGCGATGAGAGCGTACATCTGGTCGTTCTTCTTGGCGATGGCATCGTAGCTGTTGCCACCCTTCTGGAAGTTCTTGGTCCGGGAAACGTAGACCAGGATGTGGCTGAACATGCGGATGGCATCGGCATAGCGACGCATCATCATGTAGGAGAAACCGACATAGTAGTAGGTGGTGAAGTGGGCCGCCATGACACGGGCGAACATGGCCTTCTTGTTCATCTCGATGTCGTCGAGGGTCTTGAGGGCAAGGCTGAAGTCACCCAACAGACAGTGGACACGCAGGAGTCCAATGATGGAGAAGTATCCCAGCATCTTGTACAGAGGGCGGGAGCCATACTCTCCGGCAAACGCCAAGGGGTCCTCACCACGCTTGATGGCAGCCAATTGCTCGTTGATCTGGGACCTTTGGATGAGGGAGTAGAGGACGTTCAGCACGGAGTAGCAACCCCACGTGTTCGGGTTCTCACGGAGAAGCTGGGCCTCCTCCTCGTTGGAGCCGCTGCGAGCGACACGGTTGCGGTAGCGGCAGAAGGATTCGAACTGGTAGATGAACTCGTCGATGACATCCCAGGCCCAGTAGTACTATTGACAATAAGACGGGTTAGTTAGCACAGTGTATCAACTGCGGTGATTCAACCGCACACAATTGCAAGTCAAGGCAGCGAAACATGCATCAAATACAGCCGCAGCCGCGGCCACAGCCCGTCGCACCTAACAGATGGAGGAGTACATACAGAAGGAACCTCGAGCTCAACCGGACCCTCAGAGTTCAGGATGTAGTGGAAAAGGCTGCAGTAGTTGTCGTAGCTTGCGAACTTGGTCTCGAGAGTAGCCTGGTACTCGAGCGGGGTGGCAGCAGCAGCGAGCTGTGCCTGGAGGTCCTGCGTCTGGGAACCACCTCCAAGGGATGTCGTTCTGTCCAACTCACTCATGCCATCGTCGAAGTTGACCTGCTCGCGGTAGTCGTTGACAAGCGCTTCCTCCTCCACATCGGACTCGTCGCCCAAGTTGGGGTGCGCGTTGGCGCGCTCTTCGTAGGACATTTTGCGATAGAAGTACGTCTGTCGACGAGTAGGAAATTGTCCGGCAAACGGTCGGGGGGGATGGGTGGGGAGGAGAGGGGGCACGTCGTCTGGCGTAGCGGTTCGGCGTCGGCGTGTGGGATTTCGATTGTTTCGGCGGAGTCGAATTTTGAGGGTTTTCGCTTGAATGAGTTGTGCTTATCTTATCTGGGGATAACTTCAGTGCTGAGTCAGCTATGCACGACCATTCGGGCACAACTGGATTCCTGCATGTAAATGTAACTAGTTTACTAGTATAGAAGATCACTTTATTTAACATTCGTTCCTTCATTGTTCCCCGCGTTGGAACAAGCTTATCTTTAGCTCTCAGCCCCTACAGCATATTCTATGCAAACAAATCTATTCATTCATCGCCAGGATGCTAATCGGGTATTCGCTGGGGCGAGATGGTAAATATTACATGATTCATCTAAAACTCATTGTAACAGTTTTTGAGCAAGTCTCAAGAGCAAAAACAGGACTGCAAATACGACACAAAGAAGAAAATCAATAAAGGCACATGAGCAGAAACTTCAGTAGCCCGAGCCGTAGGGGTCCCAATTTCTCAAAACAGTATGCTATACGAGTACAAGACCCTGCTCGGCAGCGTCAAGAACAGTACAGTCGATTCATAATCGTGGCGCATTCAGCCCAGAGATGGTTCTTAGCCGTCTCTTTTTCCATTCCAGGTCAGTCACCTGCAGCAGAATCGCTTAGCATGAGAACAACATGTGGCTCTTTTCGAGCGCAGTGCACGAACGTTGAAGATGACATGTGCAATAGCTGCATGACAGGCGAAAGGTCTACCTTAGCTTCATAAATCACGTTTCAGACCAGTCTTAGACGATCATCTGCGCAAGACCTTGGCCGCCCAAAGTCTTGCTGCCAACGAATTCCTGGCTCTTGAGACCCGCCAGTGCATAGAACAAACCGGCGATGAGTAGGAACACGGCAGCCGCAATCAAACTGGTAGCGGACTTGATAAGACTGAGCCATTGCACAACACTCATCACTGTATACATTGCAGCGCGCATCCAGTTTGTGGTGAAGCGTCGGATAAATGCATCGAATTTTGGTGATGTGGGGCATATTCTGAGGAGGAAGGGCACTTCGGCGAAGATGAGGATCAAACCAGAGATGCTGTGTATTGTAAGCTTCTGAACCAGTGTAAGAATAGAAAAGGAAAAGCTCACAGGCACAGAACACTAAAGATGATAATCACGACGTCGAACGAGAAGATGTTGGCGATACCGAGAGCCAAGCACAAGACGATGCAGATCACGCCCGTCCTACGTCAGACATCGATTAGCAAAACTGCCTTTAAACGCCATATTTCTAGCTCCAATGTTGTCGCAATCGCCCAAATCCTATGCGCGAGCATTCAAAGTGTATGGTTGTCCAAGGCGGCAACTGAAGCAGGTCCTTTCAAGACAGCGCCAAGCGCTGTGCTCAAGAGATTCAGGCAACCATCATTCGTTTTCGCAAATGTTGTAGAGGCGCACAGTTGGGCGGCGGCGGGCGAGAAAGAAAGTAGAGAAAAGCGTTACAAACCATTGTCCATAGATACCTATGTGATCAGTTGTTAGTTATCCCTTGCTTCGTATGTCCAAGAATAAGTCATTGTAAACAAGGCAGGTCCGTACTGAAGTTTCTCGAGCGGAGCTCCTCGGCGAGAGTCATAGTGCCGAATGAAGATGCGGGATATTTGATGATGCAGAGAACGGTTCAAGTCAGGGTGTATAGAGCAACGGCAGTGCGATGCTGAGGGTAGCCTTATATAGAGGTGGTGGGAAGTATGGTCGGTTGATCGTGTGGCTACTACTTAAGATTACCAGCCGGGAGTAGACGCGATTGACGGTTTGAATGGGGCCAGTTTCTCTGTCCGGGCCGATCCCTTCACCGCGCGGCAGAATGGGCTCTTCCGCCTTTGAGGTCGGGGATCCCGCATTATTATGTTGCCAGCAACTTTCCCCGGTTCCTAGATAAAGAGCTCGCCAATCTGCAACAGAAGGCTTTCCACCGCGGGAACTGAGTACAAGCCTCGAGAATTTTGGACTAGGCTGACTATCAAGAATCGTCGATTTCTCCACTGCTACAGCTATGGAGGCTTCGCCAACTAAACACGCCCGCAATGTCTCTAGATGTAAGGAGCATTAATGTTCGATGCTTGTTGTATCATCGGCAATCTAAGGAATATAAGGCTGATTCGTCCTAGCTTCACGGCCGCGTAGCACAACGAAGGGTCCTTTAGATCAGCCAGATGAGTGAGCAGCGAATCTGCTTGAATAGTTAGGCCTATACTAACAATTACAAGCCCGCTCGGCTCCGAAACAGTGAACACAGCCGCATCCCCAAGGCCGGCTACAGCAGACTTTGCTGGATTTACCGGCGCTTCGTTTAGCAGACTGGATCCATTGGGGCCAGATGAACTGCCACCAACAGTGGAGAAGGATCTCTCGTACTTGCTTCGGTATGATGTATATCATTCGCTGTCTCAGGTAGAAATACCGCACGCTCTTCGCTCTGAGTTCCTTGCTCCAACGTCAGATGAATCGCTGTCCACAAGCCTAGCCACCCTTGAGCGGCTTCTGGCTGAAGGTCACTTTCTGCTCGCTGCTTATTTGTGTGGGACGATCTTAACATCCTCGTTGATCTCGCCTACTGACATCAAACGAATCTTTGCTCTCTTTTACACTCGGCTAGCGTGCCTGCAACTGTCAGGAAATACGATCATTGCAGCGCAAGAGTCAAAGGCGCTTGAAGACCTGAGCTCCGCCTTCTATTATGTGGAACCGATTGCTGGGACGTCTGATAAGCACCCAAACTATCCTCGTCACATCGTACCATGGCCCCTACGAGTGCTGGCTATTAGACTCCAGAGCATTGGATTCGGCGACTCACGTAGGGGCATTGGCGGACTCTACGAGGTTGGCTTGGAAGCACGAAGGGAGATTTTGCGGCCAGATGTGGACCCCGAAGAGCGCAAGTTGTGGAGAGAGCGATTGTCTGACCTCGGCATGAGGAATGTGAACGCGCTCATTGAGATGGGGGATCTGGATGCTGCTAGGAGATCTCTCGCCAGCTTGCGAATAGCAGAACCGGAAAGTGAGATCAATAAACTGAGAAAAGTACTTTTGATGCTCATAATTGGCGATCTTGATGCTGCGAGGCAGGTATGTGGCGAGGCGAGCGATGCCGGGAACACCGTGTTTCGCCCGCTCCTCAGTATGGCCGAGGGTCGGTACGACGACGCAGTGGCTGAATGGCGCGCCTTACTTGGCAACGAGGAACGCAGACCCGATGAGTCCATGATCTCGCAGAACCTGGCGGTGTGCTTGTTGTACACTGGTAGGTTGAACGAAGTAAGTCATATTCCACAAAGATTACCTACTACCAAGCCCGTGCTTAACCATGCCACAGGCACGTGAGGTCCTCGAGTCACTGGTGCACGCAAACCACTCGTTCTCGAGTCTCGTGTTCAACTTGTCAACCGTCTACGAACTATGCTCTGATAAATCCGCCAAGCTAAAGACCGACCTTGTAGAAAGAGTGGCCAGACAACCAGTCACTGGGACTACTAATCTTGATCGGCCCAACGGGGACTTCAAACTTTAATGACAGCATGAGTCACGGAAAGTCTACACTTGATGGCAAGGAGGTCCCGAGTTCTAAGACTGGTACGCTATTCTAAGAATGCCTGTCGGATCCTCCAACTATATAGCCGTCTAAACACCTGAAACAAACACCATACTCCGTCAATGCCCGTATAAGCGCCAGATAACGATGCAGCAATGACAATATCAAATCGACAACATCATGGATTCTCCTTTATAGGTGCAAGGTTATTTTGGGGCCTTTGCTTTGGCTTCCGGATGATGATTCTGTCGCCCTCTTTCTCCCAACCTAGGCTCTCCGCCTTTACCAGGTTCTCCCATGTCCAATTGCTGTCACCGGTGCAACCTTCAGTGATCCATCTGGTGTCAGTGCTGAGATAAGCTTTGCCGACTGCTTTGAGAGCATGTCGTCTGACGCGGTCTTCAGCCCAATTCATGACGGCACGCATCCGGGAATCTACATCTTGCCGGATCTGCCAGAACACAATCCAGTTATCATGTGCCAGGGCGTTCAAGACACAGTCTATAGTCGATGACCGAAAACCGTATCGTCTGCGCGCACGCGCACGAAGTTGATAAGCAGCAACCATGTCCTCCTGTCGACATGCGTAATCCAGGATCCAATACGAAATGAGTTCTTTCAGGTCAGAGTCCGGCAAAGGGTGAGAAGAAGTGTGTAATTCCTCTAGGATGTAGCGAAAGGAAGGAAAGTATGATGGAGGATGTCGGGCTTGAATCGCGAACTTGATGGAAAAGATGTGGACTTGCTGGGAGAAAGAGATGGGAACTGTGGAGCTGGTAGCCAGAACCGCCTCGCGCAGCTTGCGAAGAGAGAGGAGAATGGCGGATAGTTCAGTGGAGGGGGAAGGACTACGGGGCCCTGTCGACTTATTGTTCAAGGAGGGAAGAGAAGCTGGTGGATTGCTGGTGGCATCGCTCGAAGCGCTCCTGGGAAGTGACGTCCATGCCGCTTCTAGGTTTTTGGAATGGCGGGCGCAGAATTCCATGTACCGATTTACAATCTTGTCATAGTACTCCTTCTGAACCTTATGGTCTAGCAATCTGTGAGTGTCAGCGCTGCCGCAGTTAACCGCATCGTCGCTCCACCATGGGCATCAGGAGGCCGTGAGCATACTTTCGATCGCCTTTAGATACAAACCCCACGGTGTCGAGCGAGTCTGCCACGGGCTTTAACCGACTGCCTGGGGCTTTATCGGGCTGCGCACGACCAGACATGGTGTATATATAGTGGGTCGCAAAAGAAAAAAAAACAGAGAGGGGTTATTGATATTGCGTCATGCTCGAATTGGAGATGAAGCTATCCAAAGTGATGGACTGGTGAATTGATCTGCGGGGATCCCGTCGGGGAAGTGCCGGGCTGTTTGTCTCATTTGCACCGTTTGTCAGGTTTCCCAACGAGCCAAAAGTCCCAAAAGGGAACGGCGATACTCCGCGGAATCCCCAACGCTATTCTTCAGGTTCCTCACCCATCACTTCGGGTTGGGGTGTTACAGGGGGGTTGTTTTGCTTCTTCTTGACCCTTTAATCTGCTTTTCCGTGTACATATTTCTTTTTCTGCTCTTACTAGACGGTCATCTTACCTCATTCTCACGCGTATACTCCCCCCGAGGACCACCCCGATTACGGAGCAACCGCTAGCCATCTGCTCACCGGAGATCTGGGATCTGTCATTCTGTCTGCATCCTGCATGTGAGGAATATGTCCACTCGCCAGCGTCGCCCCACTCAAGCCCATGAGAAGGATCTGGGTACCAGCCAGCCTGCTGTGGTGGCAGCTGCGGTGTTGGAACAGCCTTCCCAAGTCATCAGAAAGCTTCTTCACTGGGATGATCTGCCCCATTGGCAGCGCGACAACCAGCACATCCACACGGGCTATCGGCCGGCTTCATTCTCTCTTCTGGTCTCCCTGCAGTCCTTGACCTACCTTCACAATGAAACGGTCAACATCTACACGCATCTGCTGCCGTCCCTACTGGCCGTTCCAGCGGCTGGGCTTCTCTATCGGGCACTAGCTCCGCGATATGAGAATGCCACCCAGGCGGATCTGATTGCTTTTGGATGCTTCTTCGCGGGGGCGGCCTTCTGTTTGGGCATGTCTGCAACATATCATACCATTTCGAACCATTCCCCCCTCGTGGCCCGCATCGGAAACACGTTTGACTATGTTGGTATCGTAGGGCTTATCGTGGGCAGCTTCGTGCCTAGCGTGTACTTTGGATTCTACTGTATGCCTGATCTGCAACGGTTGTATTGGACGATGATCTGCGCCCTCGGTCTTGGCTGCATCCTTGTTTCGATCTTCCCTCATTTCCGGACGCCTCGGTGGCGGCCATTCCGTGCGGCCATGTTTGTCGGCATGGGTCTGTCAGCGGTGTTCCCCGTGATCCACGGCTTACGCTTGTACGGTCTGGAGCAGATGACACGCCAAATTGGGCTCGGTTGGCTACTTCTCCAAGGTTTTCTGTACATTTTGGGAGCAACCATCTATGCGGCCCGGGTGCCGGAGCGCTTGCGACCAGGCCACTTCGATCTCTGGGGCAGCTCCCACCAGATCTTTCATGTGCTGGTGGTCTGCGCCGCCATTGCTCATCTGACCGGGTTGCTAAAGGCATTTGATTACAGACACAGCGGCATTGCAGACAGTTGTCTTGGGGCCGCGCAGTGATTCGCCCGCTGAACCTTGGGACATCGCACAGGCAGGACGTCCTGTGGAGGGGGGAGAAGGGGGGAGGGGGGCGCGCGGCGCCCCCTAAACATCACCACCTGTAGCCATAACTTAATCGCCTCAAGAAGTAATAGAGATGACATGATGATGATGCTGACGTCTTCACGGCTGATACGAGACATGTCTAACCTTGAATTTCACATGCTGACCATTGCAACATGGCAAAGCCAGAGATGAGAGAAGCATTGCAGAAACCTTCCTTCTCCAAAGAAGGTAATAAGAAAAGGGAAAGAGAGGGAGAAAAACACGCAAACGAGGGGAAGTCCAGGATACAATCATAAGAATAGACCTTGGGTCTTGCGACAGCATGAACGTTCACCGCTTGCCTGGGCATTTCAAACCGGGCAGGCGAATAGGGATGCGTTCCCGCATCGATTTACAGCTCACATGGTGTGCTGGCCTGCATACCGATAGAATCACCCTAGACGGCATGCTGCGGTTCCTCATTGGATGCTACGTCAGACACAATAGTCTTGCATCGTCGTGGCTCCTTCGAGCACATTAGAGTTATTCGGCCTAGTGGCCCCCACTGAATTGACGACGATGTTGCACCTGAGCTTATTCTTCCAGGCTTCTTACGTTGGAGGACGGTCCCCCGCGGCGCTGGCTGATGTAGGCAGCCCCTATCAGAGGCAGTTGGGCCGGTAGCCAAGCAATCTGGCATTTGCCATTTCTGACAAGTAAGATGGAGGTCAGTTGGACTATTGCTGAAGAATCTGCCAGTTGGAGGACTGGACACGGCTCCCATGCGAGGTGGATCAGATGAAATCTTAGGGTTTCACAACGGCTGACTTCATCTGCGCTTGCCGTCGGTTCATGAATCCCGATACGAGCCCTGCATGCCAGGGCGGCTGGTATATATAAGATTGCGCTGGTTGATGCGCTGATGAAGAGTGGTTTGATCTTTCTCCTCTCCTTGGTATTCCCAGTAATATCGCCACACCCGTTTGCTTGAGGCTCCCCTTTTGGTCGACCTCACCTCGTTATCCTCTGATATCACGACGACCCTGCTTCATATTCTGTACCTACAATCTACCATATAAATGCTGGCCGAATCCGAAACCCCCGTCAGCAACGGGGATCCGCCGAAGCTCCGGGCTGCCTGTGAGAATTGCCGACAGTCAAAGGTGAAATGTAACCTATCTGGGAAAGACACCTGCATTCGCTGTATGCGTCATGGGTTGCCCTGTCGATACCGCGTCGCCAATCGTTCTGGGAAGCCAAAAGGGAGCAAGAACCGTGCCACGCTGCGGAAACTTGGGCAGTTGCAAGACGAGAAGAAGCCTACAATACCTACCAACGGATGGGCAGAATCAGTAGCCAAAGGACAACCGCCTCGTATCAGCTATGACGACAATGGTGTCGACGCAACGGTTCGTTCATCTTGTACTCGTTAACAATCAACAGTCTAACGGTTATAGAGTACGCAAAGCACCAGCCCAGCCAGTCAGTCCAGAAGCCCCGATAGCCACGGGGCGAATTTGGCTGACACGACGTTGCTGACCGATCAGACCATGGAGTATCCATCAATAGGGGAGACGCTGGCCCCAGTGTTCAATCCCTCCATGTCGCCGCCATTCCTCCCGAAGGAGTTCATCTCCCGGGGCTTCACCGGCTGTCCGCTCGCCGTCCACATCTCCAACCCACTCCAGCCCTGTGAATGCACCAACGCACTCTTATACAACGTAAACCAGATTCGGACCATGCTGGCAGAGAGCATGCGTCTACGACTGGACCAGATCCTACAGGGCATCAACATCGCATTGACCGCGTGTCGGAACTTTCTCCGGTGCCCCAATTGCCACAAAGACCACACAAACCTACTGTATTCAGTATCCATACTGGATATTACACTCCAGCTCCTCGAGTATTGGACCTCGTATGAGCTCTCATCCGTGCCTGCTGGCGACCACAACATCATCCTTCCCTACGGCGAGTACGAGATGGGCCCGGACGAGACGCGCCGGATCCGCCGGTACCTCATCCGAGGTCGAGCCCTGCAGTGCCGGGAGGTACTGGGGCTACTCAAGGACGCAGTCGAAATGAGCCGACATCTGAGTCCCGAGCTCCGAGAGCTCAATGGGACGGACGGACTGGAGGTGGAATGGTTCCAGCAGATGCTGGGGGGGTATGATACGATGGTGGAGACTATTTTACGAGCGATGTCGGATAATCTGTGCACGTAGATTAAGCTTGAATCATTCAATTACTTTATACCTCGTTATGTAGTATACGACCATTCGTAGGTGGATTGTA